TTCCGGTGCTTGCAGTATTTTTGCAGAACGCAAGCACTAATGTGCTTGCGTTCCGGGTGCAGCCGGCTTGCGTTCATGAGGCCGGACGCACTGGAGCGCGGAGTTTGTGGTGTGAACCGGCCCATAGGAAGGCTTGAAAGAGAAACTGATCTGTGGAAGCTGTGGTCTAAAAAGGCAGGCAGAGGGTAAAGGACTAGTCGTCTGCATTGTGGTCTCCCTAAGCTTATCTTTTCCCTGTTAATGACTTACCATGTCTTTTTCTGCACTATACATGCAGGGCTTTGCTTCCTCATGTCAGAGCCTCCAGTCTCCAAAGACTAGCATTCAGAGGAAGCACTCCTGGTTCAGGAGGATGGTATTATGCAAGATGTAAACACAGGTGTGCCTAGGCACCCTCATTTTCCAGGAACTGCACTGCTGTTTTTCAGGAATAATTCCAGACAAAAGTTAAATTTTTCTGAGTTAGCTTCCTGACTTCAGTACATTGGCTGTGTTTCCTGGGTAGCAGTAGTAGTGCACTAGTTGACTGCTTTTTTTTTTTGCCTGCAGTTGACATTCAAAGCCCTGAGATTTTAGAATAGTTTTGGAGTGGGGAATCCCTGGCTGGATTATGGGGAGGAGTAATATTTGTCATTGTGGTTTTCCTGCAGCCAGTCTTGGCGGTGCGACACACCATTCGTTCTACAAACAAGGGAATGAGAGCAGAGAGGACCGCATCAGAGCTCAACTGTAAGTTTCAAATCTGTCTTTATTTCATCTCATCATAGATATTTTTTTCAAGCAGTTGGAATCACTTGGATTAAAGTCGAGCGTCTGGAATTGAACTGTGTTAAAGGGACTTAAATCAGGATCACATAAAACAAAAAACCTCATCAGATATCCACTTCTGTCCTTTTTACATCCTCAAGGCAGCTCTGACAATTCTGGTTCTGTGTGGTGCTACTGTACTGTAACTGTGGTGGTCTCTGGTTGCCTAAGAACTGTGGTGGTCTCTGGTTGCCTAAGAACTGTGGTGATCTCTGGTTGCCTAAGAACTGTTGTGGTCTCCGGTTGCCTAAGAACTGTGGTGGTCTCCGGTTGCCTAAGAACTGTGGTGGTCTCTAGCTTCCTGCATCAGAACTGTGGTGGTCTCTAGCTTCCTGCC